CACAGTGGCAACTCTTGGATAAACGATAAAAAGGGTGGTCAAGCCATCCATTTCTTAATAGTTATGAAATTGTAACTAATGCTCACCAAAACCTTGTCTAGTAGAACAAGCATATTGAAAACTTTGTTTTTTTGTATAAAATATTGAAAACTTTAATCCTACAATAATAGTAGATTATCAAGAACCAGGGGAATGTGTGTTAAGACTTTAGTGAATATTCAGAAAGAAAATAGATATATCAGGCATCTAGTATGAAACTATAGAGCTAAATAGAGGGAGTTCTGAGTATTTAGAATTTATATGTTATGCTTCCTAATTAATTTAAGTCTGAAGAACTAGTAGTGAATATGTTTTTTTTATTGTTGTGAAAAGTAATTCTGCTTAAGCTTCAAATTTAAAGGGGAAAATATATTGACCGATCGACAACCATGAATTTTTTTTTAAAGGACCATAAAAATTCAAAATATATTGAAGGATCAAAATATAACTGATAGACCATCATGCCCTTGTTAAAGAGGGTTGATTAAACGACTGCATTATGTCCATCGGTATTTTGTTTCTGTTTTTCTTTCCTCCCTTTTCAGACTTGGCATGGGGTGCATCGTTTGGCATTGAAGAATTTCGGCAACACTTATATAGAGTGGTTTTCAGCAATTAAAGAGCTTCTTGTTGAACTGAGTACTCTTCACTTCATCAAGTTAATTAAAAATAAATTCATATACATGGAAATATAATATATGAGACACATGAACTTCAACTAATACCCATATCCTAGTAAACTATTAAAGAAAACTAAGATGTGAGGTGGGCTAACGCGGGAGATTTGACAGGGGGGTAATTTAGTATTTTTAAATGGGTTAAGAACTATTTTTTTTCAAACTTTTTTTTTTTAGAAACGTTGGGTACTCTATATTGAAAGGTAGGCCACTATGCCTCCCTAAATTTTTTTTTCATGAGAATAATTATCCTTCCGTCAAAGACTCATCATCTTCTCTGCTATCTACTGATGTAGAATAGTTGTGAGGCCATGCATAGTGACAACGAAGTATTCTGGCCCATTTTTGACTCCCTTTTAGAAGGAAAAAATTGGTATTTAACCCTTTTTAAATTTACATTTTAGTAGTTGTTCATCTTTAATAATTAGAATTTTTAAGGCCCTCTCCAGTAAATATTATTCCCACCTGGATTTTCGGTCTAATTTTTCCAAATTTAAATTCTAACTGATAATATATCCAAATACACAAACAGAAATTTAATTGCACAGCTAAGTAAATTATAAGCGAACTACAAGTAATCAATTAGTAATTATTACCCGCCAGCAGTGACGACGAAGATAGGATAGGAATTTTCGGGTGCGAATATACGTAGCATTAGAAATATAACATTCTTATAGTAAAAAGATTGTTATTCTAATGCCTATTTGTTAGAGGTTTTTTCATTATTAAAAGTAAAATCAATATAGCAACAAGTTAACAATTAATTTCATGTTTATAGAATGTTATATCTCGATTTAAAAACCAAAGTTTAATATTATACGTTATTTAATTATTGTAAAGCTTTTAAATATATAAAGTTTAGTTTAATATTATGTGTTATTCAGTTGACTTTAAAGACGACTTGACTTCTATTGGATCATTACTATGAAAATGCAATATTAACGCTCACCTTTCTGTTGAATTTTTGTACAATATCCATTGGTTCGTTAACAGTGAAAATATTGCAGGATGGCGTACGTCTTATGGCCTGGCTTATCAAGTAAACCCAAATGCAAAATACTTGGACCAAGTCGTGGAAAGGGACTGAATAGAGAGGCACTACGAATGGAGATGAAGACAGAATATGAGAATTCAAGGACTTTTCTTCTTTGAATTTAATATCTCAATCCTACGCCATATAAAGTTGTGAACGTGATTAAAGAAAAGGATATAATATCATCCTTGAATGAAAATGTGAACACAGCGTTTTATGTAAAATTTGACTATTTATTAATATTAATTATTAATTTCTGACATAACTTGTTTTAGGTTAACGTTACGTGTCTCAATTACTCTCGTTTCCCTAAACTCTAATAAAATAATTACAAATATTTAAAAAAATTGAAAGGCATTATTTTTTTTAGTCTTTTCGTAAGTTTTTTTTCCCTTTCCAAAAAGTAATTTTATTCTCAACCATTGAACTAGAGTTTTAAGTTCTCCTATAAAAAAAATATAAAATATGTTACCAATCATATCTCTTGAATAATTATGACCACTATATCTATGTATGTTTGACGTATATGGGATCACTTAGTATATGCATTGAATGCTTACATCATCTAAATTATTAAAATTCATATCACTGGTTTTAAATTTATACTCCACTTAAAATTAATGAATGAGTAAATTTATTTGAATTATTGATATAGATTTTAATGATTTAAATAGTACAGACACTTAATGGCCACAATCACCGAATTTAAATCTATGTATATGCAAGTGAAACACTGAATGACTTAAAACCAAAAGGACACATGGATTTGTCGTGATGACTCAAGTTTTCTTGATTTTTTTCCCCTTTTTGTGTGTGGCCAAATGCCCTTGAAGTGGGAATATCACTACAAAAACAAAAATACTTTAGTAACAGTTTTAACCTTTTTACTGGCAGTTTGAACCACTACAAACACAATTACTAGCTGTTCTGCAATCCGCTACTAAACCTACCACAGTGAGCATAATGATAGTGGTCACAAAAATCATTACTGCAAAGGTCAAACTGCTACGGATAGAGAAGTGGAGAAAATATATTTTTCTTGGGGAACTTTGTAGCTCTTACAAACCGCTACAATATTCTCAAATATTTGAAATTTGATGCCAACACTTGTAGCGGTTCTGAACCGCTGCTACAAGGTTTCTAAAATTTGAGATTTGGAGGGTTTATTTTATAGCGGTTGTAACAACTACTACAAAATTTAAAATTTTGAATTTGCCTCTAGCACAGAATTTGAAATTTTCTGTTGCTTTCTAGAGATTTTGTAAAATTAAACGTCATTAAATTAAATTAAATTAAATTATGAATTTATAGTATATTATAATCTCATTTGGCAAAATGGAATCTCTTAATTCTTACCTGGAATCTATTGACTCTCACAGATACCTAGATTATTTTTCATTTTACAAACCTCTTGCTTTTAATTTATTTCTTTTCCTCAAAATCGTTCACTTTCTCCTACTTTCCAGCACTACCCAAGTTGAAGTTATGGAAAAAACCAATACCATCATATAGTAGAGCCCTAGAAGAGCAGATTAATTCCGGCGAAGGAGGTATGGTGATCAGGGAAAGTCTAGCGATGGTTTGGAAGAAAAAAATTGCCACGTATTCCTATTAGTGCCACTAGTGGCATTAACGTTGTTTAATTGTGGCCTTGACACCTAATCCTTAACATTGTTTACTTAAAAAAAATAAAGAGGACAAGAAACGGTGTGGAAGGAAAAGATGAAGAGGTGATGAAAGTTAAATGAGATGTTAATGAAATTCAACTGGATTTAGATCAAACAGGTGGCGGCAATGCTTAACAAGAACAAATAGTGAGAGTTTAAATGCAATGTTTGGCAAATAGAAAGATATCTTTTAGAACAAAGATAATAAATACATTTATTTCATTTTATTTTTAGATACATTTTCCATTTCTTTTCTAAAAAAATAATTTGTCATGCATCAAACATATATACACTAATCTCTTAATTAGCTTGTCTAATCTCAGGAAATCTTAGGACAGTAAAATTGCCTAATCTCATTTGTATACCACATGGTCCAAGTCATGTTTTGGTTTGGGTACTCGTCAACATCACTTGAGGAGCAATTGGAGTGTCCAGATTTTTTCTTTTATATTTATTATAAAATATAAAAATTTTAATAAATCCATCTTATAATCAATTTGGATAATGCAGATTTAATCTAAATGATCCAATTTAATATTAAATATTTTTATAATTTTTATAAATTAATTATCCAGATATGTTATGGATCACCTGAATTTAATAATAATTTTTTATATTTTTATAAATTTTTATTTTAGTAAATATAATATTAAAAACAAAAATAAAGATAAAATTCAAACTGCTACTTTAAAAAATTAAGAAAAAGTTGTAACTTGAAAATTTTAAATCTAGACTGTTTATGGTACATCTGGATAATCAATTTATAAAAATTATAAAAATAAATTTAATATTAAATTATACTATTTAGATTAAATATGTATTATTTAGATTAATGATAAGATAGATTTATTAAAATTTTATAATTTTTTATATATAAAATAAAAATATAAAAATAAAATTTTAAAATCTAGAGCATCTAAATTAAAAAAATCTGACTGGTTCAAATTGCTCATCATATAATGGGCACCAAAACCAGACTCGGTCTAAGTCTAACCCCTTTCGTTTTACTTCATCATATCTCGACTTTTCTAACGCCATAATTTCCAAGAATGTTGACCTGTCAGTTTGCGTGTTTTACTTCGTCAGTGTCGTCTTGTTTGCATACTCATTTTTCCCCTTCTAATTTTTGATTTCAAATATAATTTTGAATGCTAATAATTAAAGGAAAAATTATACATCTAAATCCGTTCACTAGATAATATAAAGGTGCCAAGGGAATTAACAAGCCTGCACAATAAGCTAAGGCAAACATTACAATACCTTTCTCCCCCAGTTAAGACGACAGAGTGACGATGTGGTTCAACCCGTTGTTGCTCATTACATTAGCAGCCATGGCAGAAGAAGCTGAAGCTCAACCCTTACCTGGTTGTCCCGACAAATGTGGAAATGTCAGTATTCCATACCCATTTGGCGTCGGTGAAAATTGTTCCCGGGCAGAGAAACGGTTTAATCTCACATGTAACAGCTCGACCTTATTCATCGGAAAGATGAAATGTTCTAGCATATCCCTCCAAGGTCAAATGACTTTGTTCATGTCTGTGGCTTCAAAATGTGACAATGAACCAGGAGTCACAACAGGTTCTAGCTCGTCTATATCCCTTACCATGGGTAGTGCTTTCACCATTTCTAGCACAGAAAACAAGTTCATAAATGTTGGTTGTGATACTTACGGCTACTTAAATAGTTTCGTGAACCACAGTACTACCGTTTATTCCACCGGCTGCTTAACGCGGTGCGACACATTTCCGAGTGAGATGTATGCTAAAAATTGTTCAGGTATTGGGTGTTGCCAGGTGGATATTCCTGTTGGAATGAGGAATATCGATTTTGAAGCATATAGCTTCAAGAACCATGCGAATATTTCGGAATTCAACAATTGTAGCTATGCTTTTGTTGTTAAAAAGGATTGGTACAATTTCTCCCTTGGGCATCTAAAGCAGTTACCCTTTGATGAAGCCCCGCTTGTGCTAAATTGGACAGTTTCAAATGTTACTTGTGATGTTGCTAAGGCAAGATTAGACTATGCTTGCACCAACAACACCGATTGTGTGGACTCTCCTGGTGGATTTGGGTACAATTGCAGATGCAAACATGGTTTCGAAGGAAACCCATACCATCCTGATGGATGTCATGGTAATTCCCTTATTTCTTCTTCTTCTTCTTCTTTTTTTTTTAATTTTAACTAACTTGAATTTGCATACTTCCCTTCCTTTATTTTTTTCCCCTTATAATTTCTTATTTACTGATACACTTGCTCGTATTACAAACTGAAATTACAGATATAGACGAATGTCAAGATCATTCAATGAACAAATGCAGCGTTATTGAATATTGTGTCAACACGATCGGGGGTTTTCGTTGCGGACCAAAAAGAAGTCTATTTTCAAGGATCTTCATTGGTAATGGCCTTTAATTCATTGTGTGTGTGTGTGTGTGTGTTTTTTTTTTTTTTTCCTTCGGTCTCGGTTCGCAAATTTCTTTTATTATCAATTTTGCACAAGGCTTCATAGACTGAGTGGGGCAAATATAGCTCAACTCTCAAGATTGATGCTTCCATGTTTCCTCCGTGGATGATATTTTAATTTCTTTTTTCAATTTTTTTGATACATAAAGCAATTTCTTTTTCAAATGGCGATTTCATCATTTATGTTTGACTTGTTAAACGTTGGGGATTGTTGAAATGGTAAAATGATGATTATTGGTATGTAAATGGTTTTCTGAAATAGGAGAATTGTTGTTGTTAGTGATGAAGAGGGTAAGAGTTGATTGTTGGGATAAAGATGGTTTTTTTTTTGTATTTTAATTTGATATGTATTTTGGTATTTTTATAATATAAATATATTTATTTAAGAAACATTATTCCTCATTTCCATCTGCATATCAAACACTTTTTTTTTCGGCCATTTCTGCGTATCAAACTTATTTATTCCTTTTTCTAATTGTACTGCCATCTTGCGCCCCAGAAAACAATTTCCAGCATACCATAGGCTTTTGTGTTACTAATTTGCAATTTACTGCATGCTTCCATATTAAAAGTTGACATTAGGTGCATTTTTTCCCACAATAGTGTCAAAATTTGGATAGTTTGAAATTTCAGAAGTACTTAGCTTGTTGCAAGGATTTAACACTCATCTAATTATTGCCAACTAGCTATATGATAATTTGCAACTAATCTTCCAAAGCTTAACATGAAACATTTTAGGGAAAAGAGTAATTGATTATTAACGACGAAACCGGAATTTCAAATTTAAATTTTTTGTCTGAAACTTGAATTAAATTGAAGCATTGGTCTCTAGGTGTCATTCCTCCATATACATACATATAATATATTCCATGCAGTTCATTACATAAGTCCATAGATATGTATAGTCCTATCCATGGCTAAAGTGCTTTCTATTCTTCAATGTTGATATGTAGGTACAAGTGCAGCCTTAGTTGCTTTACTTTTTAGTATGTCTTGGCTGTATTTGGTATACCGAAAGAGGAATCTCATCAAACAAAAGGAACATTTTTTCAGACAAAATGGTGGCTTGATCTTGCAACAACGACTCTCTGTTAAAGAAGCTTCTTCCCAAACAGCTAAAATCTTCACTATGGAGGAGTTGAAAAGGGCAACCAACAACTACCATGATAGCTTAATACTTGGAAAAGGAGGTTATGGAACTGTTTATAAGAGAATTCTTAATGACAACAAAGTTGTTGCAATCAAGAAGTCCAAACTTGTTGATCAAAACCAAATTGAACAATTCATCAACGAGATGGTCATCCTCTTGCAAATTAATCATAGGAATGTGGTGAAGCTACTTGGATGTTGTTTGGAAACTGAAATTCCTTTGTTAGTTTATGAGTTCATCAACAATGGCACCCTTTATGATTGCATTCACAATCCGGGGAAGGCTTCCAAGATGTCTTGGGAAACACGTCTGAAGATTGCAGCAGAGACAGCCGAAGCACTATCATATCTTCACTCTAGTGCCTCCACACCCATAATTCATAGAGATGTGAAGCCATCTAACATACTTTTGGATGACTCCTACACAGCCAAAGTGTCTGATTTTGGAGCTTCTAGGTTGGTTCCAGTTGATCAAACAGAATTAGCCACAATGGTACAAGGAACTCTAGGATACTTGGATTCAGAATACATGCAAACCAACCAACTCACTGAAAAAAGTGATGTCTACAGTTTTGGGGTGGTGCTTGTGGAGCTACTTACAGGAAAGATAGCTCTTTCATTTGATAGACCGGAGGACGAAAGATGCCTTGCCATGCACTTCCTATCATCCTTGAGGAAAGGTCAATTGTTTGAAGTACTTGAAGTTGGCATAATGATTGAGAACAATGAAGAGATACTAAAAGAAGTGGCTTCACTTGCTAAGAGGTGCTTAAGACTTAGAGGTGATGAGAGACCTAGCATGAAAGAAGTTGCAATGGAGTTAGAGGGAATAAGGATGACAAGGAAGCATACATGGGTAAACAATGATAATAATTCAGGGGAAATTGAACCATTGCTTGGAGAGACATCTGGCATAAGTGAAAGTGGCGATAGCATCAGCTATAGAAACACAGGAGATTATAGCATTACAAATCATGTGCTGATTGACTTGAATGATGGAAGGTGATTTGTTGGTATGCCAGTCTTACTGCACCAATAATATTTTCTGTAATTTTGTTATTTTAACGGAAAATGTAGACCCTTGGGCATTTTCCTTGTAACTTACAGATGCTAGAATTTATTTTTAGATACAACATATAATATCTATTCATGGTGATTATTGTATTATATGATATCAATAGTAAAGCAGCATTGATTGGTGTTTGGAGGAAAATATTATTTATTGACTTGGGATACCCAGAGCTAAAAAGGAAATATCTTCACGGTCTTTGATTTTATGGATCTCTCAATGAGGTTGGAATTCATGCGATAATTACTGTTTCATGTTCTTTTTTTTTTTTTTTGCCAACAAACTGTTTCATGTTCAACAATAGATTAAGCACCCTATAAATTTCTTGTGAAAATAAACACATGGACGTCTTATCCATTCAAATTGCAATTCACTTCATGATATATTAACAAGTTTTATCAAGTAATCTAAAAGTTCAAAAATACTCTAATTCGATTCGAAGCTTATGTTAGACAAGTCATTTTGTTGAGTGATTTTTTATTTTTATTTTTTTAAAATTAAAGCATTTGATGCAGATATTTGATCTACTCGTAGATGATATGTGTCATGATTGTTCTAGAGCTTTTCTTTTCCCAATACATGTCTTATTGTCATAGGAGTTGGTCATTGGTTGTTAGTTGAGAACAGAGTTCTCTAGGTGCTTACAAGCATGTTAGAATAAGTGAAGTCTACACTAGGTGATTGGTAATAAATTGTTCTCAATTGTGTGCTATTTCACCTGGTAATGGATAATTGCATGACTATGAGACTATCTATCTTTGATTGTATATGTTTGATCCTTTCCTACACTATGGTAGGCTTGCACTAGGGCTTCACACCTTTCCTATTACTATGAGTTGTGTGAGTTCATCTAACACCAATATGTGTTAATAGAGGCTTCCCTTATTATGTTAAGCTTGTTTATATAACTGAATTGAATTACCAAGGGACATTTTAGAGTGACCTTAACTTGTTCAAATATATTCAGGCAAATACATTGATATTCTTGCGAGGAATCACTACAGATGATTTCGGCAACACCTTAACACCAATAAACATGAAGAGGATGAGCCTTATATCTCTACTTTAGAGGCACAACAAGTTTATTGTGTCAAAGATAGAGAACATAAAGACTGAAAGATGATTGTTCATTTGAAGTCTTGAGACCTTTATGATATGGGTGATGATGATGCTGATATTATCATGAGAATGAATCATTATAGCCAAATAATTTCCTGAACTTCTTCCCCGAAGGATTGGAGATGATCACTTACCATGTGTTAGGTGAGATTTTACTTTTTTTTAGTTGAATTTATATAAAATCTAATTTAGGCAAAAGATAAAGTGTATCTTAATCCTTTGACTTTATACAAAGTATCATTATGGTCCCTTAATTTTATAATTTTTTTTTCAGTTCCTAAACCCTAACATAGTTAATTTCATCATCAAGAAAATTGAACTTTTAAATACTAACAAAATATTCTCAAATATTGATATAGTAATTTAATTTTTTAAAATACAATGATTGGCACAAAAAATAATCATTTAAAACTAATGGTGGTAGGGTTGTAGGATTGAAAAGATACTTTATCTATAAAATTATAAAATCAAACTAAAATCTTATACAAAATTAGAGGATGAAAGGTACACTTTTATCATAATATAATAATGTGGATGTAGAATAAGGTCAATTAAGCAAAGGAAATAAAATTTATTTCATGTTGTACATTTATTTATATATATAGATTTTTGTATATTTTCTCATCGATAAATTTTTCATTTTAAGTATAAAAAATAAGTAAATATAAGTGAAATAATTATAATAAAATCAATTTCTGCATATTTAGTAGTATATTACTAAGTATCCTGTGAAATGCATGGGATGTATGAAAGTAATTTTTTTAATATATCAGTATTTAATTGATTATTATTAATGTATGAAATGATAAAAAATAATTTAATAATTTTTAAAATTAATAAGATGATCTCAACTTTATGTAAACATGGGTGGAAAAAGTGATTAAACGTAGTTTTAATAACTTTTAAGATCTAGTTAGACAATCTCAACTCCATATGGCATGATTGTAGAAAGTGAAATTATATAGCTTAAGTGCTTAACCCCTTCTCAAGAGAAAATTTGTAGTGAGAATTTGCAAAGAAATTTCCATGCCTGCCAAATCAAAAAATGATTATTACAAAGTAAAATAAGACCACATATATTATATTCAAATAGAGAATGGTAAAAAAGACTCAAGAGATAATTAACATATAATTATAAATAAAAATAATAATAAGTGAAAGATATGACAGAAAGATGTTGAAAATCAATATAATAATTTTCAACATAATGCACCTAGGTTAGTAAAAGACTTGCATCATTGATCAATAAATGAAATCTATAGGCATCAAGGCCTCTTTCTACAATAAGAGTCACTTCTTCCTACAATACGTGTGTGTGTGTGAAGGCAATTAAATTCTTACCACCATAAAGGATGCTTTTCACGATGCTGTTTTAGTGCATTTCTTGTCTTTATTATGGGGTACATAGATCAAGACGACTTAGAAAGTTAACCCATTCACATTACTTTTAAGAGGGATGTGTATAATAAAACCATGTTGCTTTTAATAAGAAGAGACGTGGTTTATGAAGAAGTCACATCCATTTTTTAGAAAAGGGATGTGGTTTCTTTAAAAACCAAGTTGCTTTTATCCATAAAAAGTAACGTGGTTAATATAAACTACATATCTTGTTATAAAAGTGATGTTATTTATTTTTTAAAATATTGATCAATATTTTTCTTTACAGTCGTTTGAACTTGCAAATTTTCACAACATCAACAACCCAACATATATAGCTAGAGTGTTCAATAAATAACAGCAGTATCAATATAAGCATATAAACCAATGGAACACCAAAATCATTATCTATTCAAGTGTTCAATATTTACAATCAAAGTCCAACGAACTACAACAATATACTAATTAGAGTTTCTAACCATCTAACTTTTCTAATAAGTCTAGCTAAAATTCTAACTATAATGAACAAACTATAAATTATGGACTATGTAAATAGCTCTTGAAGAAGTTGACATGCCAAACTAATTTCTTCCCTAGTGTAAGGGTACTCATTGTCAAAAAGCTACAAATTTTTATAAGATTTTCATTATATCTGAAAAAATTCCAAAGGCTCTTTGCATATTCTGTAATATCTCAAATTTTTAATCCTACATTAAGGATTGATTAGGGAATGAATTAGTAATTTAATGTAGGATTAGAGTTCTAGATAGTGAGATGTTAATTGGACTCATTGGAATGTTATATGAACAGATGTGAGTAAAAGAGTGGAATCCTGACGTAGAGCATGTGAGCATAGTGAGGATTTCCCTCACTGTGCCAAGTGCCGTGGTGGAGGATGGGTGCGTCGTGGCGCATG